TATTGGGTTTAAATAAAGTTTTACCATGAAAATGGAGTTTAATATTTATAACTAAGGGAAACCACTGTTAAAGGAGAACTAAGAGGTGAGTGAAAATCACTAATTCTCATAGTTCGAGCCGACGTGTGACAATGAAACTGTCACACGTCGGCTCAATAGATCGGGAAGTGAGCAAACACATAACGTCGCTCACTCACTTCTCAATTATCTCCCTGCAGAGAGCCGTGACTGACAGTCACGGCTTCCTGCAGGGATTCCCCCCCCCCCTTCCCCACTCCGATCCTCCAACGCTGACAGGAGGAACAGACGGGGGAGGGGGCGGGTACAGCTGGCTCTGCTTCTAGATAGGCAGAGCCAGCTGTCACTCACGCAGCTGGGTGGATCTCGACAATAATGTTGGGATCCAATTCCCGGGCTGCGGCGGTCTCAGTATACCGTGAGCTGTAGCTGGCGATATACTGAGCTTTGGGTCACGGGAGGATGCTAGTATATGTCCTCCCGTGACCCTTAAGAGAACTATGAAAAACACTTACCCCATAATTCTCTTTTAAACATTAACAGACCACAATGCTTTGTCTTCAAGACTCAAGCAGCAATAGCTTTCACCAACCAAACAACCATTTACCAAGCAATGTTCACCCACAAAGTGGGGGACATTACCCTGTAAAGATTAACTGCAACAAGGGAAAGTAGAACAAAGGGAAGGGTGGGTGGGGGAGCAGGTCGAAAGATATAAAAGAAAGGCTGAAGAATAATCCAGAGGAAACATGTACTTTACATTCACCACAGCCCTTTATTTGAATGTGGTAAAAAAAAAAATGGGTGATCAAGGGTGACAATCCTATGGGGCCACTTTCCTGTTTTTTCTTTTGTGGCCCTAACAGGAGAATGAAACCAGGAACTCATGTGTAGATGTGTTGCTGCCAAATTTACAAGAAACATAAAAATGTTGGATATGATTCAACCAATGTCTGCCCATAATTGAAAATATGTTTGGGCTGACTGATCCTTTAACTTACAAGTGTACTTTTATTAAAAAGTATACTAATACACCCTCCATAGCTGTCCTGAACGAAACTACATTAGACTCCTCCATTCTAGCTGCTTACTTACCTCGGTAGGACAGCTGCGGCCCAGTCTTTGTTTTCACCTTTTTGGCCAAAATCCTGTTTACAGCTAGCTACTCCCACACAGTGAGCCCCCATGGACTTGTAGACAACATCTCCAGTCTATGAGGGGACACTGCTTAGGTGCAGCCAGCGGAGAAGGGCATTCCAACTGGAGAGGATGAAAACAAAACCACATGTCGGAGCAAGCCGTGGCTGTTGGAGGTAAGTAAGCAACTTAGGTGCAGTTAGTGTAATTTAGTTCAGGAGGACTAGGGAGAGTTTGCTAGTAATGGACACCTATACTTTAAAAGAGGACTCTGGGCAAAACATTTTGTTAACCCTTGCAGTGGGGCTACCCCCACACTACAAAGGTTACGAGCTTGTTTTGGTCTACGGAGCTATATAAAAAGTTATACTCACCCGTGCCCGCTCTCATCCTCCTGCACGGGTGCTTCAGATTTTCAGACGGGAGCGAGCGGCAGAGACACAGGTAAGTTTTTACCTTTTTGGTAACTTTTTAATTTTCCTTAAATGTTTTTGTATATATCTACTGCTTGCTAGCAGTAGATATATGCAAAAACAAAGGAGAGTTTAATTCTACTTTAAAGCACACAAGGGCCTAGTATCATGCGTGGTGCAGTGTATGTTTTTGTCCTCCCCTGTCCCTGAAAGAAGGCATTGTAAAGTCTGGGTCAGCAGTATACAGATAAGACTGATTTCTGGGAAATATTTTTTTTTTTTTGGTTTAGTTGCAGTACTTAGTTCCTCTTCTCAGTTTGTATTGCTCTCTTCATCCCCAATTAAAGATGTTTAATCACTAGTGGTTACTGGGACACAGCAATGAGTAAGGCATTGACACATCAACACGCGTTGATCAAACTTGAATTGACGTGTGTGGACATGTGTTTTTCTTTAACTCTTTTTTTCCCACAGAAAAAGCCAAAATGCTTCTTTTCTTTTCTGCGTGCTTTATATGCACTGCAATACACTGCAATGCACTGTAGTGCATTTCAGTGCATTGCGCTGCTTTTAAAGGCAGCATGTCCCATAGTCACCCAGCACACATCAAATCAGTGCTTTGGAGTGATCTTGGCCTATTGGAAACAATAGATTTCAGCTTGTCATTGCATTGGGCTTGCATTGAGTAACAGAACCCAATAGATGTTGTGTTAATGCTCCCTAAACTTTGTAGAGCTGGAAAGTGTTAGATTTTGTGTCAGGTTTTTGTTGCTCTATACATAAAAACTAACACTTTCCAAAGGTTCTAACCCTTTCACAGTCCAGCCAAACTAAAATAAGCAAAATCTGGCTGCAGTTCCACTTTATTTTTTGTGTGTCTCACAAGATGGGTGTTGGGCACATCATTACACATACCTGTATTCATGAGGTTCTCTATAACATCTTAGTTTTACATTAGCACTATAAATATATACTTTCAGTGTGCTCTTGGTTGTTCTTTCCTCTTTTTGCAATAGCATCATAACCACAGACACAGAAGGGTGTGTCAAACATCACTTCAGTTATAACAGGCAGGAGGCATCTACTTATACATGTTGAGAAATCTTCATCTTCATCATCATAGTTGTAGCTAGACTTTCTAATGAGGTTTAAGTACTTCCTCTAGTTTCCAAACTTGGCCCCTTAGTTCGAGTGAAGGGAACTCTTAAGGCATCAGCATACCAAGACATTTTGGACAATTTCATACTCCCAACTTTGTGGGAACAGTTTGGGGATGGCCCCTTCCTGTTCCAACATGACTGTGCACCAGTGCACAAAGCAAGGCCCATAAAGACATGGATGAGAGAGTTTGGGGTGGAGGAACTTGACTGACCTCAACCCGATAGAACACATTTGGGATGAATTAGAGCGGAGACTGCGAGCCAGGCCTTCTCGTCCAACATCAGTACCTGACCTCACAAATGCGCTCCTGGAAGAATGTCTGCAAAGGGTGGGCCAACTCAATATTGAACCCTACGGACTAAGACTGGGGTGCCATTAAAGTTCATGTGCGTGTAAATGCAGGCGTCACAATACTTTTGGTAATATAGTGTGCATATATACTGTATATGTCCAATGCTGGGTACCACATTGGGATAAGAATAAAGACTGCTTGGGTGCACTCAAGGCAAGTAGATACAATCGATCCAGTAGAAGAGGCACTCACAGGTCTTGTATTGAAGCCACATAAATAAATGCATTGGTCAATGTTTCAAAAAGGCACTGCATCGACTAATGCATTTATTTATGTGGCTTCAATGCCAGACTCGAGAGTGCCACCTCCACTGGACTTTAGGACCGTATATACAGTATATACATTATACATATCTATATCACTGTAATGAGTTAATTAAGCAGCATCATATAAAAGTCTGTAGTAAAACAAAAGTATGATAAAAGCATATTGTACAAAATCCATTACATGCACTCAATGCTCAATAAATGTACACATCAGTTGCCTGTGGCATAATAATTGCATGCTGTATAATCTACAATTAAATGTATTGTTTTTGAACTTTTAAGCATTGGGTTTCAAACCTCAGACTTTTTCATGTCAATGACTGTTTGGTTATAAACATTGGTTTTGTTATAAGGGTCTATGTTAGGCTAAAAATAGGTTTCACAACAAAAAGCAGCGATATGATTAGAGAGAGAATATCATGTTGATAAGGAAAATCCATCTGTAATGTAAAGTAATGAATTCTTGTACATAGATGATATGTGCCAGCTAACAGTTTGAGAGCCACCAGCAGTTCAAATGCAATAATGCCTAAACAATGTTTATATGGTTTGTAATGGCAGTGCAGTTTAGCTATCTAAATAAAACCTGTGAAGAAAATTGTCACATTTTCTAAAGTTGATAATATGCAAATTAGACCATAAGTGTAAATGTAGTTTCACATCCTTTTATTTTTAGTGCTGTTAGCCAGGATCTCACATATACATTAACAGTTCTGATATACATATGGCCAAACCACTGCATTTAAAAATAAACACAGCAGATTGTAAAGCGCCATGGGTGCTCAGTGCCCCGAAGTAAGGAAGGCCTCACTCAGATTAATAAATGGGGAAAAAGTCAAGAGGAGTAGATCCTGGTTACAGGACCTGTCAGAGTCATGTGACCATCCTCTCCTCCATTCATGGAGTGTTTTCTACAGCATTATGCAAAGAACAGTTCATGGGACACTGCAGGCTCCACAGAGCACTTTGCATTTTATTAATGAAGCATAAAATGTTTGCAATATGGTGTAAACACTGCCGTATACAGTACAATGTGGATATGTGTGTAAATGACATAGGATCCCAGACATCCCAGCCTGCAAAAACTAATTTCAGGGAGGTGGCTTCACCAGCTACTGCCCCCCCAACTTGTTACATACACTAAAGCTTTCAAAAAAATAGCTTTCCTAATTTTTTTACCAAACTTTCATTGTACTGTGGAGTTTGGGCTGTGTTTGGGTCTCACCAGGGCTGTGTTTGGGTCTCACCAGGGCTCTCATTTGGGTCTCACCAGGGCTGTGCTTGGGTCCCACCAGGGCTGCGTGTGGTCTCACGAGGGCTGCGTTTGGGTCTCTCCAGGGCTGCATGCAGATCTCATCAGGGCTGCTGGTTGTCACAGACTCAGCAGCGGCTGTGAGGAGGAACGCTCCGCTGCACATGTGAATAGCGGCACAACCGCCAGTGACAGCCAGCAATCTGAGATGCCATAGCAACCCAGGCGGCCCGCACATCATCAGGGAGATGTCCTGGCCGAGCCCCCCTGTGCCCCAGGCCCCATATCGGCCGCCTGGGTCGCTATGGTGATTGTTATGCCACTCTATTTCCCTGCAGTTCAAAGCCACAGTGGGGCATTACTAGAAGCAGCACCACGGGAGGCAGTTGGCATGAATGCAGAAGGCCAGTGCAGCAGTGCCATTGCTGTAGTAACAAAGTACTTATCTTTTGCTTGCAAGGCTGCCAAGTTTGTTTAGGCCCCATTCACACCAGATGCATTGGCATCTGTTTTTGCATCTGTTTTTCAACAGCTGCCAATGCAAGGACATCAGAAAATGTATTGGTGTAAAAATGGAACACCTGGCAAATGGAAATATACATGGTAAAATAAGAAATAGGCTTGGTGTTCACCTGCCAAAGGACTGTCATTTTTTGCTATCTATTCTTGCTGCTTTCTGGGTGCACTCCTTGCTCACTGGACAGAGGTGGTAATGCTGAATTACAGAACCGATTAGGAGACTGGAGGAAGATTGCTGACATAGGAAGCCATATTGCTTAACAAGGTAGATTAAATGCTTTGTTGGGAACTAAGTATAGCATTTATCTGGCTGTGCAATGTTGAAAAAAAAAGACAATCACAGGATTAGTATATATATATATTTCTATTTCTATTTCTATGCCTATTCATGGATTATTGGTAATCCCTCTGGGAAATATTCAGTGCCAGTTCCTCAGGACGTTTTTTTACCAGAGCAGAAGGAGGAACTTTTTTAGCTTATCTTTGCTCATATTCACTACCAAGGTATTGAGCATAATCAAATGGTGTATTTTTATAGGAAAAAATAGTTTTGCTGCAAGGTTGTGAAAGCTTGAGTTATTTGTAATAAAGGCAGACTCTGTGCAGGAAATTACATTTCTCTTGGGCCTGGGCAGACGAAAGAAACCTTTTTTTATTCTTAGCATGACTGGCGTAAGAACACTGGGTTTGGTTTACTAAAGGCAAGGGTTGATAAAATTTGTGCCTGGAATTCTAGGTGAAATGTAAAAAAAATCATATATATGATGAAGACTGTCACTACCACTGACACAGCAATGTTTTTCCCCGCCCGTGACATTGTTTTGTTACCTGTTGATCCTTCCAGTAGATCCATAATTTTTTCTCTAATTGTGACATGCCAAGCTGGCCAGGCGAAGAATACATTGACTGCAGTAGATTGGATGAAAGCACAGGGAGACCACCATCCTGCTGATTTGGGAGCTGGTGGTCCCCTATTAACCGCCTCCCGGCTGGCCGTTGTGCAAAAAGTGGCTGGCCGAGAGCTTCCTGGATGTAACAGGCCAGCAAGAGACGGCGTGCGTGAGCGGGAAACTGCCCGCTTTTAGACAGCGATGTCTATTTACATACAGGCGATCCGCCGGCTATAGAGCTGGTGGATCGCTTGTATAAGGTGCCGGTCCATGCCCCCCCCCGCGGTCCCCCTCCCGCTGTCCCACTGGTCCTAGGCTCCGCTGTGCCAGGTGCGAGCCTGGGACCAGCATGGTGACTCTGTGAAAGGGGATCAGAGGGAGGTCGGTACACGGTCCCCTCTTCGTTGTCAGAATGCGGAAGTGATGTATGTTACATCACTTTCGCATTCTTGTGTCACTCTCCAGCTTCAGAAGCTGGAGAGAAGCTGATGAAGTAGATGTCTGCTTCATCAGCTTTTTTGCGTGCAAACATGTGTCGGGGTGCGCATACGTGTGAAAACGATGATTGCGCCACACATGTTAAATATCACCGTGAACATCGCAGTGAGAGCAATAATTCTAGGACCATTAATCACTAATAACACTAAACTGATGAGCTTTTAAAGGGTTGCCTATGGTCAATTTTGGTATGGTAGTTTTTTTTGCGATTTTGCGGGTGCGCGCCATTTTAAGGCTTGACATGTTTGGTCTCTATTTACCCGGCGTGACCCCGACTTTTATTTTTTACCAAGTACTTAGGTAATAATAAATGTATTATAACATAATGTAAAAAAAACCTTTTTTTTCCCAACGTTTTTCAGTAATTTTTCCTTACTATAGTAAAAAATAAAACCGCCAGTGGTGATTAAATACCACCAAAAGAAAGCTCTATCTGTCCCCAAAAAATGGTATAAAATTCATTTCAGTACAGCGTTGCATGACGGAATAAATGCCAGTCAAAGTACCACAGCGCTGAACACTGAAAAATGGCCTGGCCACGAAGGGGGTGTAAACACCTGGTCTTCAAGTGGTTAAAAATTTCTCAAACAGAGGTATTTATGAACATTGTGAAGCCATTTACTCACACCAATAAAAAAAAAAAAAACTTGCACGACTACATTCACAAAGTAAAAAGGGAGCTATTTACACAACTTTAGTATTTGGGTTTTCATACACTTTGAGGCAATTGCAATAATTTTGCTTGGTCTACATAAGGTGTTAGTAGGTATTGTTTCCATTAGGTCTGTGAGGTATGCTACAAATTACAAAATAGAAGCCACAACTCTATACATGCAACACTATGGGGTCTATTCACAAAGCTGCCGAAGGATCTGGCCGTAGCTTCGGCCGATCCTTCGGCTAGCTTCGGCCCCAGGACCCCTTCGGTTCAGGAGAACCGAGGGGGTGCTGTACGGGCTATTCACAATAGCCCGTACAGCTCCCGATCACAGCCGAGTGGCTCAGTCGAGCCGATTGCATATGCCTCGGCTCGGTTGAGCCGTGCTGAAAGCCAAAGCTGGGCGGAGCCAGCCGTGATCTTACGGCTGGGCGGAGAGATCAGCGTCCCTGATTTTTTAAATTTTTTTTTTT